TTTTTTGTATAGAGTACAGACAGTATCCGAGTTGTTCATTAGAGTTGATTCACACTTTGGTATGCAATTTGAGCTAAAAGTAATGAATACAGGTGCTTTCAAGCCTCATACAATAATTAAAGGAAAATTGCTTAATCTTTTTTCTCCTGTAACAATTTTTTATATAAAAAGTAAAAGGAGGAATATTTAATTTTAAATTGTTATTATGGAACCTGAGTAATTTACTTTGAAGTATAATAAAATATCCTTCACACTTAACTCTTTCCATTCAAATCCCAGCTACTGTAACACTCTCTTAAAAACCATGCACAATGATTGAGTTCAGAATCAAGTCTCATAAACAAACTAATTTGCCGAGCTTGACCTTTAAAAACCACTGAAAGTGTCATTGGTGCCATCACTATTATGTAGATTCTCTTTCGGCTCACAGCATTTCTCTTTTCTGGATTAAGATGTAATCATTCTATAATCCATCTCATTTCATCTCACCCTTATCTCAGAAAAAGACCAAATACTAAAAACTGTTTATCGTAAAGCTGTTAGATGACAATGCCCAACTGTAAAGGAATAGAACACAGCATATTTACTGCACGACAGCCCATAACACTTTTTGACTTCCCATTATGCCCTGGCATGCTTTGAGCAGTATAAAAAAAAAGATAAAATGAAAGTTGAGCCCTCAAGAGAATTAATTCGAAATTACCCATTGTTATTTTTCCGCTAAAGAGAGGAAGTGTGATTTGGGGTTGGTTATTTGCGGCTGGTAAAATCACGGTGTTAGTCATCACTTTTCAGAGTGAGCTTTATACAGAGGAACACTCCCCTCCCCAGTCAAAGAATGGAAATTTAACTCCCACACAATCCACTTCATGACTTCATTAGCTCACAGATTTCTCCAGGATGATCAGGCCAAAAAGTGTGCTGGGCTCTGCACAAAATGATACACTGTTGGTGAAAGCATCTTAAAATACAATCCTAACTGAATAAAACAGTATTTTCTATTTTATTTATTTATTTATATTTATTTATTTATTTATTTTTAAATTTTATTTTGTCGATATACAATGAGGTTGATTATT